GGGCATTTTTCTTACTTTTGTAATTATTGGGGGGTGGGGAAGACTGGTCTGGGGGACAATAAACCTCCTTTGGGCCAAAGATCAGAGTCGAGTCACTGGGTCTCTCCCCTCCCTGGCTCCCATGCTGTCTCCCCAGAGCTCCCAGGAGCCATACCTGCTGTCTGTGTACCCCAGGGATCTCCTTGACCCTTTCTGGGTCTCTGCCATCACGTTTTCAAGACATGTTTTCTGAAGGTGCTCCATGGACCCTGCCCTGATTTCCCCTCCCTGTGGGTCTCTGTCCTCTCTCTCTGTCCCTCTATCTCTGGGAACAGGTAACTGGCATCCTCATCAGCACAGGGGAGGGTGATAAGAGCTCTAATGAAGGCCGCACTGGGACAGTAGGGGGTTGGACCTGGATGCCTCAACACAAGGGACCACAGGAAGTTATATAGTTACCACCATACAACCTACTGGAGGAACAGATAGCACGAGGTCTTGAAGGACTAAAGGAGTCCTGTAGGATCAGCACTGGATGGCTAACCACAAGGTTGGGAGTTTAAACCCACCAGCCACTCCTTGGAAACCCTATAGTGGGTTGTTACTGTTTAAACTGACTGGACAGCACTTAACAACAGAGGACAGAGATGCTGGGGAGCCCAGCAGGAGGGGAGCTACTGGGGGAGGGTTCTGGACTGAGAGCAGAGCCTGGGGAGGGGAGGGGGTTAGGAAAACTGGATTGCAGTGGGTGTGGGCCTCTGGGAAAGAGGAGTTGGCTTGGGGACAGGAAAGATGCAAGTCTAGGAAGGAAAAAGAAAGGGATTTAGGGAGAATGACTGCGTGTGTGTGTGTGTGTGTGTGTGTGTGTGTGTGTGTGTGTGCGCGTGCGCGCCTGGCTGGCATCCTCAGCTCCCTTTTTTCTAGTTCTCTCTCTGGATCTCAGTCCCCTTCTCTCTGTGGGCTTCTGTCCTCTTTGGACCTCTCTTCCCCTCTCTGAGTCTCTCATGTGTCCGCCCCAGGGCTTCTATCCTCACACTTGGGATTTCTCCATCCTCCTCCAGCTCTGTTTATCCCTCCTCTTTATTCTTTGTGATCTCAGCTTTTCTTTCTCTTCCACCTGAGGACACCTTCCAAGTAGCCTTTCCACAGGCACAGGTGGGGCCACTGCCTGGGGCTAAAGGTCTGCAAGCTGAAGTTTAACATCTGGTCAATAAGTAACTTTGTCTGAGGGGGTGGCTCCAGCTGCTCCACCCACCCACCCCCACACACACACCTCCTCACCAGGAGCCCTCCCCAGAGACACTAAATCCAAGAGAGATATCAATTCAGGTGAGAGATATCAAAGAGATATGAGTGGAGACTGAGCCACTGACCCTGGAGAGTCTAGGGCAAAAGGGCTTCAGGCAGGGTCCCAGGGAAGAACCAGGAACTGAGAGAAAGACCATGTCTGGGAGTGGAAGTGCAGGCTCGTTGGGAACAAGCTTCCTGAACTTTCAACTAGGAAGGAAAGGGCGGGAAGGAAGCTGGTTTCCAGCCCCAGGGCATCTTGGGGGTGTGGACCATAAGCCTGGTTCTTTGGGTCCCAGTCAGACCCCAGACCCGGGCATCCAGTCACAAGGGGATGAGGTCAGCCATGGCCCCTCCCACCTGTGTCCTGGGCCCCTTCTTGCTGAGCTCATCATGACTCAGCACGGCTGCTGGTCATGGCCCCCACATACACACACCCAGACACCCCTTATTGTTGAGTGCCCTGGAATCAATTCTGACTCAGCAACTCCTTGTGACAGAGTTGAACTGCCTGGTCATTCTCCAGCAGCACAGGGTGGGTTCCAACTGCTGACCTTTTGAGTTCCCAGCTGAGCACTTGACCATTACGCCACCAGGTTTCTTTAAAACCAAGATCAAACCCAATGTCATCCAGTTGAGGCTGACTCACGGTGACCCTCTAGGACAGAGGAGAAGTGCTTCACAGGTTTCTGAGTGTTGTAGGATCAGCACTGGACTGCAAACTACAAGGTCAGCAGTTCAAACCTAGGGTTGCTATGAGTCAGACCGGACTGGACGACGCCACCTCATCATCTTTATGAAAACAGAAGCAATGTCTTTTCCCGCGTAGCAGCTGGTGGGTTTGAACCACCAAGTTTTCGGTTAGGCACTCCTTTGCGATTTTCAAGTGCCCTCAAGTCGGTTCTGATACATAGTGACTCTGTCTAGGGTTTCCAAGGAGCAACTGGTGAGTTTGAACTGCTGACCTTTTGGTTCAAATTGACCTCACAGTCCAGTGAAGACCAGCTCAGTCCTGGCATCTGTGTGTGGATCCCCATGGTCAGGGACTACCCACTTGGGCTGGTTCTTAGGCTTGGCTGCTCTGCCTGTTCTCTGTTCTGTCACCTGAATTGTCCCTATTAGGGACTCATCTAGAGTCCAGTTACTATCTTTGAGCCTCCCTTCTCTACAAAACGGAGCTCTGATAGCATAGTGGATTACGAACTAAGCTGCTAACCTAAAGGTCAGCGGTTCAAATCTACCAGTCGCTCCATGGGAGAAGAATGAGGCTTTCTTCTTCTGTAAAGATTTACAGCCTCGGAAACCTTGTACAGTCAGAACTGACTCCACAGCTTTCCATGAATCAAAAATCCACAACCACCACCTCTACACTCCTGGACAGCAAGGGTCGTGGTTCGAGCCAGCTCTGCCCAGTCCCAACATGAGCCTTGTTGCTCTGAAGTGCCCTTGAGTCAGCTCGGGCTCATAGCAACCCTGTATAGGGTTTCTGAAGATTGGCTGGTGGATTTGAACCACCGTGCAGTGCTGATCCTACAGCACCACACCACAACTCCATAAGCGTAACTCACTTTTAAAAAGCACACAGAATAAAGATAAACATTGTCCTCTGAGTCTTCAGATCCTCCAGAAATCCTGAAAGAGCACACAGAGTGGGCAGGACACCCTCCCAGCCCTGATGACCTCCTCAGAGAGGTTCCTTCAGAACCAAAGAGAACCCACAATCTCTGGGCTGCCTCCAAAATACAGAAAATAAAAAACAATGATTGCCATCAGAGTCAACTCGGACCCACAGCAACCTGTAGAGAACAGGATAGAACGGTTCTGAAGGATTTCCAAGGCTGTAGATCTTTATGGACGAGGATTACCTGGTTTTATCTTTTGCAGAGTCCTTGATAAATCCGAACCACTAACCTTTCAGTCAGCAGCTGACTGATTAACTCTGTAACTTCATAATTGTTAAGTGCCTTGGAGTCATTCCTGACTCATAGCCACCCTGAACAGAGGTTTCCAAGGAGCAGCAGGTGGGTTTGAATTGCTGACTTTTTGGTTGGTAATCCAGTGCTTAACCTACAGTGCCACACCAGGACTCTGTACTTCCATAATTTTGTTGTTGTGAAGTGCCTTTGAGTCGGTTCAGACTCTTAGTGACTCTGCATAGGGTTTCTGAAGAATGGCTGGTGAGTTTGAACCATTGACCTTGTGGTCTGGTGCTTTATTCTACAGTGCCACACCAGGGCTCTATACTTCTGTAAGAGGAGTCCCCAGGAAATGCAGCATGAGACCCCCAATCTCAGTTACTAATCCCTTGAAAGAGTCCCAAGGCATATCAAAAGCCCAGACCATTTTTTCCAGGGTTCTGAGATCTCTCCAGGGTTCCTCTCAAAAGCTCTGGGTTGTTGCTTTTGCTAGGTGCCAATGAAGTGATTTTGACTCATCACGGAGCTACAACTGTCCCATAGGACTTTACAGGCTGTAATCTTTATGGTATGGTGCTATAGGATAAGCACGGGGCTACTTACACAAAGTGGGCAGTTCAAACCCACCAGTCAGTCCTTGGAAATCCTATAGAGGGTCGCTGCGTCGAAACCGACTAGACAGCACTTAACAACAACAACAATCTTTATTAATTCTTTGGGGAAAAGAGTTCTAGTGGCCCAGTGCTAACCAAACAGTTAAGCAGTTCAAACCCACCAGCTGCCCCATGGGAGACGCGTGTGGCAGTCTGTTTCCGTAAAGAGTACTGCCTTGGAAACCCTGTGGGGCAGTTCTACTCTGTCCTTCAAAAATAAATCAAATCAAAACACCTAGTTGCGCAGAACTCTCCAAGTCTGCTTTTCCCACTTTGCAAATTCATCTGATGCTTCCAAAGAAATACATTATTTCCCAAAGTGAAACCTTCCACTTTTGGATAAAACTCACGACTGCATGCAAGTACTCTAATACCAGGGAGACACCTGGGGTTCCAGAAATGCTCTCTCTAGGCCTTCAAAACTGCCTAATGACCCGGGGACCCCCTATATTCCACAGGAGGCATCTGGAGGTCCTTCCTTTCTTTGCCTCTAAATTCCAGGGTTCTAGAATAGTCCATGCTTTGAGAAACAAGCCCAGAATTCTTCATACTTCTCTCAAACACCCTCAAAACTCCAATATCACCCCACTCGGGGTTCCTAGTGTCCCCTTTGGTCTCCCACTTTCCATAGATGAACCCAGACTCTCCCGACTTGGCAGAATTAGTCCCAGGACCCCAGCATCCGGCGAACAAGCCAAGATACCCCTCCTCCCCTCATTTCACAACAGCCAGGCGCTCCAGGCGCGTGACTCCCCTATCTCTGGGCGGGGGTGGTAGATGGTGGGGGTGGGGAAGGGAACAAGGATGCTTGTGTTGCGGATTGGTCACGCGGGGACTCAGGTCCCGCCTCCCGCAACCGCTGATTGGCCAATAACTCGGTCTGAGCGCCCCGCCTCCAAGCGTTCAAAAGGTATAAAAGATACTGCCCGTCCCCATTTTCTAAAGTTCGAGCTGCGGTCCCGTGGGTCTGTGTCTTGCTTCAACAGTGTTTGGACGGAACAGATCCGGGGACTCCCCCACCTCCTGCTTCGGACCACCTCTAACAACTTCTTTGGGCACAATCTCGTCTCCAGGACCATCTTCTTGAGCATTCCCTGTTACCGGGACCAGCTAAACCGTTTTTTTGTGTGTGTGTGTGTGGTTAGCTCCAAATCTTCGACCAACCATGAGCTCTCAGATCCGTCAGAATTATTCCGCTGAAGCGGAGGCCGGCGTCAACCGTCTGGTTAATCTGCATCTGCGGGCCTCTTACACCTACCTCTCTTTGGTAAGGGTCCCTGGGGCGGCCTCCCCCCGCCCCCCATGTTTTCTGTAACTGCGCACCTCCAGCTCTCTGCGCACGCGCGCGGCCTTCTTTGTGTGCCGTTGCATAGTTAGAGGGCGGGGTCCTCCCGCCTGTTCGCCTTGTCTTAAATTTGTTCTCTTCCCTCAGGGCTTCTATTTTGATCGCGATGATGTGGCTTTGGAAGGTGTGGGACACTTCTTCCGTGAGTTGGCGAAGGAGAAGCGTGAGGGTGCTGAGCGTCTCTTGAAACTGCAAAACCAGCGTGGTGGTCGCGCACTCTTCCAGGACGTGCAGGTAAGGAAGCTTGTGCGCAGAGGACTGTATCTTCCAGCAGGCCTTGCGTATGGTTCAATTTTTTTTTGCATGTGGTTTACGTTTTTTTGGAAGTGGTCGACTATGATGCTGGATTACCCCCCAACTGGGTGTGATAGTTAACCACCCAAACAGCCTTGCAGCTAGGTCTCATAATTATCCCACAGGACTTCTGGGAAACGTAGGTTTTGTATCGTGGCCAGCTTCATTAAATGCTAATTCTGAATCCTGTGTCGCATACAGAAGCCCTCCCAAGATGAGTGGGGAAGAACCCTGGACGCCATGGAAGCCGCCCTGGCCATGGAGAAGAACCTGAACCAGTCTCTTCTGGATCTGCACGCTGTGGGTGCTACCCACACAGACCCCCACGTAAGTACCTACTTTATCCTTTGCAGGTCTTCTCTGGGGTTGAAATTTACTATATTAAGATTTCACTCTTGGCTGTCTGGGAAACTTGTTTCTGGGTGGGTGGTGGGGTAGGGGGGCCACATCCACCTCTTTCCCAGGAACTAGATTTAAAAAATCTTCTCTTCTATCCCTCAGCTTTGTGACTTTCTGGAGACTCATTTCCTCGATGAGGAAGTGAAGATTATCAAGAAGATGGGCGACCACTTGACCAACCTCCATCGGGTGGCTGGTCCCCAGGCAGGGCTGGGCGAATACCTCTTCGAGAGGCTCACTCTCAAGCACGACTAAGAAGAGCCTATGGAGCCCCACAACTTGTGAAGGGCCTTCAGCATTCATTCCCCTGCTCTCCCACATACCTTCTGCCTGAACCTTCCTCTGCAGACAGAGGCAGCATAGTCAACGCCCTGGAGCCCCCCCTTCGCCCAAGTGGTGGACCAAATGAAAACAATAAAGCTTCCTTTTACAGCAGCTGCTGGTGGTGTGTGTGTTGTGGGAATCTTTATCTTCACAGGGCTCATCTTTGGGCTGTGCTGGCCGGGAGAGAGAGGAGCTAGGGCCCACCTTCCATTATCTTGGGTTTTAAGGTGGGACCCCTAGCTGGGTCATAGCTTGGATTGTTTTCCTTGACTGTTCACTGCTCCCCCTTGATGGTTGAGTACTAGACTCAAGGGAGGTTGAATTGGGTGTTAAGTAAGCTGCAAGAAGCAGGCCCCAGGCACTGTTCAAGAGTGAAAGTAACCTCAAGCTGGTTACTAATGAGTGATTATGGGGTCAGGCCCTGGGGTTAAGCTCTTTAATGGCTACCACTTCTGACTCCATCCTTCAAGGTAGGTGGAATCCTGTTGTACTGTGGGTTAATGTTAGAACTGTAAGATCAGTGGTTCAAGCTCACCAGCTGCTCTTTGTAAACTGTATATAGGGCGGTTATGGGTCGAGAGCACTTAACAATGGCAGAAATGTATGATGAAGTTAACAGCTCAAAAAATGGCTGGTAATTTGAGCCCACCTAGGAAAACTAGGCCTGGCGATAGAGGAGTTGTAACTGGAAACTGGCACACACGGGGGTCATTGAATCAGAAACTCCTGTAAATGGACAATGGTAACCAAAAGCCACTCTAGACCACACCTGTGTACCAATACAAGACATGGTAGTGGAGTGGATGTGTGCAGCTACTGAGACAGTGAAGGACGAGAGGTGCTAAGCTCCCAGTTTGGGGCTAAGAACAAAAGGGATGTGAAACTAAAAACCAAATTCCCTAAAACTGGAGAAGCTACAAAACTCAGTGTTGACTTACCTCTTCCCTGTTTGTTTTCTGGTAGAAGAGGAAGGAATCTAAGAGGAAGTGATACCTGTTTTGCCTGCTCAGCACCATTGTGCTGCTTTGTTTGGTGTGGTTGTCTTGTGACTTGGAGGGGGGCAATGACACCAGGGTAACCCAGCTGGTCAGAGAAGTCCGTTCTGCTTAGAGTTTCTCTCAAATGCCCAGGAGGCCTAAAATAGACTAGATCTATAATGCGAGAGACTTTCCACCTCCCCAAAGTCACATGCTTTAAAACCAGTGCTGTCCAAAGCAGTGCAGATGTTTTCAATCCGTCCACACTAAGTGTGCATATGACTAGTCCTTCTGAAAGTGTCCTACTCGTGCAATGGGTAAGTACTCGGCTGCTAAAATCAACAGCTCAGCAGTTGAGCTGTTTCTCAGTCTTGCTTTCTTGGGAATGGACAGAAATTAGGCTCAAGCTATTTTAGGCATAAAGGAGCCCTGGTAGGCTGCAGGCTAAGTATTGGGCTGCTAGCCACAAAGTTGGCAGTTCAAACCCACTAGTTGATCCACTACCATTATGATTTAGTCTCAGCAACCTACCTAGTGGCTCCTGGAGAGGAAAGACCCAGAGATTTGCTTCTGTAAAGGTTTACAGCCTTAGAAAGGCTTTGTTATTGTTGAGTGCCATGGAGTGGAGTTGATTCCGACACAGTGACCCTGTATAGGGTTTTCAAGTACCAGCTGGTGGGTTTCAACTGCCAGCCTGTGGTTTGCTGATCCTACAGCGCCACATGTGGAGTCTGGGGCAGTTCTAATGGATTGGACTGCATTCAACAAACTGCTTCTGAGAGAGAAAAGAGAATTGAATTTCAGTAACCACACAGGCACCTTATGGATCCATCCTTCCAGTGGGTGAAGAAACGAAACAACTCCCTGCCCCAAATCAATTTCAATTCATTGGGACTCTGTAGGACAGAGTAGAATTGATTGATCCTTTGGGTTGCTGAGACTAAATCTTTATGGTAGTGGATCAACTAGTGGGTTTGAACTGCCAACTTTGTGGCTGGCAGCCCAATACTTACCCCACAGCCTACCAGGGCTCCTTTATGCCTGAGAAAGCTTGAGCCTAGTTTCTGTCAATTTCAAGGAAGCAAGACTGAGAAATAAAATGGAATCTAGAATAGTAATTCAAGTTTCTGCAGGGCAACTGGATGAAACAAAGAACCAGAGATTATGGGATAGCAGGAAGGGAGGAGAGAGGGAGGGTGCAGGACCAAAACCAAGTGGGTGTGGGGTGGGTGTGGGGGTAGGGGTGGCCAGGAAAGGTGCACCAAGTCCCAGTATTGGACCAGACATGTGGTTCTTAAATATAAGTGTATTTTGTCATCTCTAGACACACTCCAATCATACCCCTTCTGCCCTCCCCCTTCGATTACAATCCAAGGAGAGCACCTAAACAACACATATGAGGGATCCCTCCCTGTCACTGAAGCCCAGGGCTGGGCACAGCTCAGGGATGGAAGAGCTCGAGGTAAATGTGGGAAGCCAGTGGAAGGCTCCATTCTAGACTAGGGCAAAGGGACCAGGATACAGCACAGTGGTAAAGGTTCTAGATTCAGTAGCCAGCCAGGGCCTAGAACCCAGTAGTTTCAGGGTAGGAGACAGTCAGCTGGGTCTTCAGTAGCAGAGATCCCCTGGGGGACGAGGGGGCACTCAGAATCAGGTAAGAGTAGAAGAGTTGGGTCTAGCCCATGCCTGGTATTCCCCAGCAAGAACGAAGAACCATCCCCTTGCTTGGCCCAAGTGTGGGGGATGATGGGAGTTGAGTGGGCACTGGACCTAACTGGTTGGGGTGGGGAAAAGGGATTCTCCAGGCAAAACTGGATGCCTTGGAAGGGGTGGGGCCAAAGTAAACAATTGAAATGGAGGACATTCCTAATTCCAAGATATTAAATCCTTGATTGTGCACTTCAAAGTCCCTTTGGCAGGAGGAACAGCAGGCTTGGTGCCCCAGGCCAGGCTATGTGGCATGGCCCACTGTGTACATTCTAGGATTTGCAACCCACCAAGGGCTCTGGAACCCACCCCCTGAAAAGGGAACAGGCTAGGTTTTCTCAAACCTTTGGCATCACAGGGTAAAGGCCAAACCCTGGGCCAGGCTAGTGGGCGTGGAGTGGTCTCTGGAGTGCAGAGGATGAATCTGGAACCCGAGAAAGGCACAGTGTTGGTAATTCTGGAGTGTGGAGACTCCTAGCGGTTGACCCGAGCGTAGGGGGGCGTGGAGGAGGCGGGGTTGTGGATCCAAAAGAAGGTTTGGGATCTGGAGTGGGGTTTGGAAATAACGCCCTTCTGCGTCCACCCTCTAGAAGAAGGGGGGCAGTCCCCGATCCAGGCTAGGTGGGTCGGGGTGGGGGTACCTAGTTGCGCTCCTCGCCCAAGGAACTGGCGGGGCTGAGGGGCTCGCTGGGAGTGCTGAGGGAGCTGGAGGGCGCAGTGTCTACTGAGCCGCGCTTGCTCCCGCTGGAGGTGCAGGAAGCACGGGGCGGCCACTCTGGGGCGCGGATGTTGCGCCTATCTTTGGCAGCCTCCACTTCCTCATCATAGCGTTCACCGTCCTCTTCCCGCGGCTCTTCCCGGGGCTCATCCTCGTCCTCACTCAGGTGTGGGCTCGAGTGTCGTGACAGCGAAGGCGATGGTGGCACCGAGGCCGGTCGTGGGTAGCGGTAGCCCTGGGCCTGTGTAACAGGTGTGCATGTGTATGGGCACAAACTGCAGGAAGCGGGACAAGAGGGGCTCCCAGGCAGCCTTGGCCAGGTTCTAGTGCCTACTCTCCTTCACAGGCCTCTCCACCCCCTCTCACCTTAGACCACCGGGTCAACTCACCGCTTCTGTCTCCTGGGGCTCGTAGGTGAAGTGCTCAGGAAAAGCCTTTGCCAGGGCCATGTGACGGGCGGACATATAGTACTTGAGGGACAAAGAGAGCCACCGTCAGGTCAGTTGGAGTAGGGACTGCCCCCAGGCAGAGGTGGAGGGGGGACAATTCCTGGTTTTACCTCTTTCCTGAGTGATGCCGTATGCAAATTATCTTTTGGCTCCACCCTTTATGTAGAAAAGGAGCCTTAGTGGAGCTAAATCAAAAGGTTGGTGGTTGGAACCCACCAGTCGCACCTCGGGAGAAGGACGTGGTAGTTGGTTTCCCTAAAGATTACAGTCTCCGAAACCGTGTGGGGCAAGTCTACTTTGTCCTGTGGGATCACTATGAGTCAGAATCCATTGGCTAGTAGTGGGTTTTTGTGTGTTTTATGGAGATAACACTGCTCAGAAGGGGCAGCATCTCAGCCCTTACAACCAACTATTCTCAAAGGGATTCACATTAGGAGGGCCTGGATGAGCGGGAGAAAAAGCCAAAAAGATCAAGTGTATAACTCATGTGACATAGTATTCCTTATCATATCAATGAATTGAAACGAAGGCTATGATTTGTTGAATGTAAAACTGATGATCTGCTCTATATGTAAACTATCACTCAGGTCACAATAAAAAGTTAAAAATCACTACCACTGACTCAGTGACCCTGTAGAACGGTCCCATAGGGTCTCCAAATCTGTAAATCCTTACAGAAGTGGACCGTCACATCTTTCTCCTTTGGACTCTGGTAACGTAGTTACGAGTCGGGCTGCTGGAATCTCAAGGTCAGCAGTTCGAAACTACCAGCGATTCCATGGGAGAAAGATGAAGCTTTCTGCTCCCAGAAAGATTTACAGCCTCAGAAAACCCTATGCAGGGTCACTCAGAGTCAGAAGCGACTCCAAGGCACACCACTACCATCACCACCACCAGTGGGACAGAGCTACTCACCTTTGGGATGTTTAACCACAGACAACTAAGGCTCCACCTTTGGCCACATCTCTATGCTAATGAGAAGAACTCCCCAACCAATGAGGTTGTCCTGGAGGTTCCTTTCTAACTTGGAGGGCCAACTAGAAACCAGAAGAGACAACAGGGCCCTACCCGGCCTAGGTATTTCCAATCCAGCAGGTCAGAGAGGCGCTCTGTGCGATTCCGCTGGATGATGCGTTGACGCCGGCTCTGCTGGCAGAAGCTGTAGAGGAAGGAGGTGAGCTGCGAGCAGGAATCATCCAAGCTGCGGAACCGCCGGTCCAGAATGTAGATGCCTGCCAGGGCCAGGATCAAGGCTCAGAAAAAGGATTGGAGAGGCCCCTTTTACTCCGCTCAGGACTGGGGCGTTTCCTTCCCTAGGGACCCAAGAGTCCAGGGCCCTGTCCCTCTTCCCATCCTCTGTATTGCAAGAGTCCTAGTTCTCAGCCCCTTTCCCGAGTCTTGGGAGTATGGGCACTGACCGTAAGCCGAGGGATCTGCAATGTGCTCCTCCATGAAACAGCCGAAGCCAGAGAGGTTGGTGGAAATACTGGGGATACCCATAACGGTGCATTCAGCTGCCGGAAGGGGAGAGAAAAGGACCTTTTAGCTTTCCCCTCAACCCCCATCAGGACTCTGGTGCTACAGTGGGTTAAGCGCAGGAAGCTAACCGAAAAGTCAACCATAAGCAGCAGTGGGTTGTTGCTCCCTAGGAGAAAGACAAGGTAGACTGCTTCCACAAAGAGAATGCCTTGGGAAAGCCTATGGATCCATTAGTTCTACTCTGCCTCATAGGGTCCCTGTGACGTATAAAGGACTTGATGCAAAGGTTTAATCATTACCAAAGCAGATCGCCAGATCTTTCTCCCAGGGAGCCACTGTGTGGGTTTGAACTGCCAACCTGTCAGTTTGCAACTGAGCATCTAACCCTGTACCACCAGGGCTCCTGTTGTAAAGAAGCCTGGGGTTCAAAGAGGGTCCAGTCCTTTGTCCCAGGATCTACTGGCCATGACTAGAACCCTGCCACCATGTTGTCACCCTCCACCCCCTGAACTCACCTGGCGTATAACCCCAAGGCTCATAGTAAGAGGGGAAAACCCCAAGGTGGCAGCCACGTACAAACTCCTCGTAGTCCACGGGGAGCAGGGGACTGGTGGACGACAGGAACTCCGGGTGGAAAATCACCTGGCAGTGCAAAAAAAGCACACTCAGACGGTGCACCCAGTTTCTCTCCTCTTTGAGATCTCAGAGCAGCCCAGAGAGGGTGCTGGGCTAAATTCACACAGCAAGTTGGTAGCAGAGCAAACATCTGGACCCAAATCTGTCTGCCTTGAAAGTCAGGGTTTTGTAGTTGTTTTTAGATTGCATTTGTTTCCTTGTTGTTGAAAATATACACAGTAAAACATACAATTCAATGGTTTTTCATGTATGTGCAAGTCAGTCACATTGACTGCATTATTCAACTTGTACAGCCAGCCATTCTTGGGCTCCTTTTCCAAGTTGTTTCTCCCCCACTCCCAGAAACTCACTGCCTCCTAAGCTTCTTAGCTAATCTTCTGAATTACTGTTGTTAATTTGATCCCACATAGTTCTTAAAAGAGCTTGCAGCTCAGGCAGACATGCTTGCTTGTTAAGTTAAACTGTAGTTTTAAAAAGACTTCAGGTAATATTTTTGGCTTAAGGTTTAAAGAGTACCTCAGGGCAGTAGTTTCATGAATTCATCTAGCCTCTCTGGCTCTAGCAAATCTGTATTTCATGAGAATTTTAAATTCTGTTCTGCATTTCCTCCCTTTAGATCAGGATTCTTCTGTTTTTTCATTTTATTTTAAACATTTAGGATTCTCATGTAGAATTTTCAATCAAATGTTTTATAATGGTAGCTGGACACCATCCAGTTCCTTCTGGTCTCATGACAAAGGAGGCAGTGGTCCATTGAAACCATCAGCCTAGCCACACATTCCATGTGTGGACTTCTGGTATGGCGCTGTAGGGTAGGCACTGGAGTATGAAACACAAAGTTGGTGGTTCTTATCTACCAGTTGCTTGGAAACCCTGTACAGGGTTGCTATGAGTGGAAATTGACTCAACGGCACTCAATAACACACATTCAATATCTTCTTTGTGTTCCTGACTCTCCTTTTTCTTCTGTTGCTCCAGACGAATAGAGGCCAATTGTTATATCTTGGACCAGGGTTCTTTTAGAAATGTGGCAAGACCTTTACTAAACTATGGGGATGGGGAGTTTGAGACCTGGGATCTTCTGCCCCCTGCCATGCCCAACCCAACCCTGACTAGAGCTCTTACCTTGACCCTGTCAGCACTACTATTGAAGAGGCCAATTCGGCGGATAGTGGTCAAGATAGGGTCTGAGGAGTCATCCAACATATTATGTGTACACACAGGTGGAAAAGACTGCCGCTGTGGGGACAGACATGGATTGAGCATCAGGAAGGAGCCAGAAGGCGCCCTACTTCCCCATGAACCTGCTGACCAGCTTAGAGCCCAGAGGTCCAATGAAACCACAATCCCCACCATACTGTGGGGCAGCAATCTCAAAATGTTGATGGGAATTATATATAGCATTCCTTCTTAGCTCGAGATGTAAAGTTTATATTCTTTTTACACATCCAAGATCCTAAAAGAAATGAGTGTTCCTAAGATATTTTTGTATCTTAGTATTCCTAAGATAAGAGTCCTGGTATGGCGCTGCGGGATAATGCGCTGGGTTGCAAAGTCATTTGAACTGCAAGATTGGTGATTCAAGCTCACCAGTGGCTCCTTGGAAACCCTATAAGGGTCACAATTGGTGGGAACCGACTCAACAGCACTTAACAACAACATATTATTGAGGCAAAGCTACAGTGTTAACAGGCATCTCGGATTGCTGGGAGTTATAACTGTTTTGTTCTGGGTTTTCAGTTCTGACACTAAAAACCCCCAAAGGAACTACAACTCCCAGCATTCCATGAGGTCCAAAACAGGCAATATGAGAGCAAGCCTCTGTAGTTTTCTTATGATAACCCTGGGTCTCTTCATTTGCAGGTGCCCTATAGTGTCAGTCCTGTAATTCTCCCAACAGAGGTCCAAACTCCAAATGAGAACAAAGTCCCTCAACTGTAGGCACTAAAAGAACTCTCATTCTCAGAAGCGTCTGGGGCAAGGGACGTAGTATTAGAGCAAAAAGTGGTATGGTTACTGGGAGTCATACCTTTCATAATGTGTTGCTCTGATGGATTTTCTAAGGAGTCCTGGTGGGTTACACATTGGGTTGCTACCCACAAGGTCAACAGTTCAAACCCACCAGAGCCATTCCATGGATGAAATATGAGGCAGTCTTCTTCCATAAAAACGTACAGTCTCAGAAAACAAAAGTGGCAGTTCTGTTCTATCATAAGTGCTGCTATGCATCAGAATTGACTCCGTGGCAGAGTGTTTGGTTTGGGTTTGATAGATTTTCCTCTCTAAAGTTTGTCATACACTTAATTCCATTATTCTACAAGTTTAAAGAAGCTACAACCCTCTGGGGTGTATGGGGTTCTGACAGTCAGTAGAATAAGAAACCCCAGGGACTGCTGGGAGTTTTCAATGTTCTCTTCACCAGGGAACACTGGCCCAACAAAACTACAACCCCCAGAAGTCTCTGAGGGCAGAGGTGAAACCAATAGGCAGCAAGGCCCAAAGACAACTGGGAGCCATAGTTCTCCTTTTGTGACTGTCCTTTCTAAAAGGCCTTTTTACCCTTTGTCCACTGACCCCAAAGACCCAGAGAAACCACAAAATCCTGGTGATCTCTGTGGCCGAATGAGTCATAGGAAATCAGGCTTCCTTAAGGGCTTCCAGGAATCGGAAGGTCTACAAAGTTAGCTCACACCTTTTTTGTGGGTGTCAGTATTAAACCTCCAATCAGAGCCCCCTGGTAAAGCAAAGCTCCCAGCTAACATGGCAGGTGCTTCTGGGGCTCCTGGGAATCACCATCTCACTCTGCTCAAGAGTCCAAACCATACCTGCGTGGCAAAGATGGCTCTCTTCATCATTGTGAAGTCCTCTTTGTCTAGCATCTTGTTCATGTCTGGGAGGCTCCCCCTGCAGGGTGGGTGGGGAAATGCATCTTGGAATGAGGTGATGAGAGGGTTTGGGACTTGAGAGGGCACAGGGCTGTGGACAGGGCACTTACACTAGCAAGGATTCGTAAAGCTTCCTCCCGAACTTCTCCTTTACTGTGTTGGCTGTGTCCCTGGAAGGATGAGAATGACAGCATCACATAACTGCCATGTTTTGTTTGTTGTTGTTGTTGTTAAGTGCCTTCGAGTCGGTTTGACACATAGTATCCCTATAGAGGGTTTCCGAGGAGCAGCTGGTGAGCTTGAACCGCCAACCTCACAGTTCATACCGGCCTTGCAGTCCAGCGCATTAACCCATAGCACCAACCAGGTAAATAACATCATGATAAATGGAGAAAAGATTGAATTTGTCAAAGACTTCATTTTGCTTGGATTCACCATCAACACTCATAGAAACAGCAGACAAGAAATCAAACGATGTTTTGCATTAGGCAAATCTGCTGCACAAGACCTCTTTAAGGTGTTCAAGAGCAAAGATGTCAGTTTGAAGACTAAGGTATGCCTGACCCAAGTCATGGTATTTTTAATAGCCTCATATGCATGTGAAAGTTGGACAACAAATAAGGAAGACCATGGAAGAACCGATGCATTTGAGTTATGGTGTTGGAGGAGAAGATTAAAAGGACCATGGACTGCCAGAAAAACAAATAAATCTGTTGGAAGAAGTACAGCCAGAATGTCCTTAGAAGCCAAGAGGACCTTAGAAGCCAAGACTTCATTGCACATACTTTGTACATATTATCAGGACCCGGGGACACAGGCCCTGGGAGTCTCTGCTCCCTCATGCCTGGCATTGGCTGTGTAGCTCAGGGCAGGTGGCTATCCCTCTCTGACTTCAGTGATTCATCTGTCTACGAGGTGGGTAAAATTAGAAGTGACCTCACAGGTTTTTGGTGAGGTCAGGATAAAAAAGGCACAGTGCCCGGCACACTGTGAGCCTTCCAGAAATGTCAGCTATTCTTAGGCCCTGCATTAGCTCAGGAGTTGGTGATGCTAAGCCTCAGTTGATATAAAAAAAAAATAAAAAAGTGAAGCAAGTTCTGAGGGGCACATGGATGCACATGAGTAAGGCTGCAGAGATTGTCACCATAGTCCCCGCTGTCATCACTCTGTCCACAATCTCCCATGGCTCTGGCCTCACTCTCTACCCCTCAACCCCTCAACCCCTCTGCTTGTTGTTTCGCCAATAGGCAGCCCTGCCTCAGGGCTTCTGCAGGAAATGCTGTTCCCAGCATCCTCTGCTGGTACAATCATTAAGCAGCGGGCTGCTAACCAACAGGTCAGTGGTTCAAACCCACCCAGGGGCTACACAGGAGAAAGACCCGGCAATCTACTCATATAGAAATCCTATGGGGGCAGTTGTACGCTATCACATGGGGTCATTATGAGTTGGAATCAGCTCAGTGGGACACAGTAACAACTCTCTCATACTCCTTAGTCTCTGCCCAGTGGTCCTTTCTCAGCATGGCAGTTCTGTTTCGAATTTAATCCTGCAATAGCCGCTCTGGGAGAGAAAGAGGGTGCTATCTGCTCTTGTAAAGATTTTGTTGTTGTTATGTGCCGTGGAGTCGGTTCCGACTCATAGCGACCCTGTACAGGGTTTCTGAGGCTGTAAATCTTTACAGGAGCAGAAAGCCTCATCTTTCTCTCGCGGAGCGGCTGGTAGTTTTGAACTGCCGACCTTGAGGTTCACAGCTCGATTTGTAACCACTACGCTACGATTTAGAACCTCGGAAATCGCTATAAGTCAGAACCGACTTGATGACAATGGGTTTGATTTTGGTCTCGCTGAGGGTCTGCTCTTCAAAATGTGAGCGCCGTGAGGGCATGGCTTGTATCTTTATTGGTTCCCAGCTGGGGTGCCAGGGCCTGGATTTGCGCCTGGCAAACAAGAGGTGCCCAATGAATGTTGCTGTTAAAAGCTGCAGCCAAGTTAGCCCTTGACCCATGAGGATACAATGTATAACGGAACTAAACACGACTCGGTCCTGCGTCATCCTCATGATTGGCTAACAGATTGGACCGCTGTGATGTACAGGATCTTCATTGGCTGATTTTTGGAAGCAGGTTGCCAAGACTTTCTTCCTATTCCCTCTCAGTCTAGAAAACCTAAACTCATGGCCCTTGAGTGAATTCCAACTCACAGTGACCCAGTAGGATAGAGTAGAACCACTTGTTAGGGTTTCCAAGCCTGTTAATCTTTCTGGGAGTAGACAGCCTCATCTTTCTCCCTCTGAGCGGCTGATGGGTTTGAACAACTGAACATTGCAGTTAGCACCTCAGTTCTTAAACCAACTGTGTATCCGGGGGGTCTCTTTCGTAGTCTCTGTTGAAACCTGTTCAACATTATAGCCACATGCAAGCCTTCACTGGCAGATAGGGGGTGGGGAGTGGGGAGGGAGAGGTGTCTACCCATGATGTATCCTGGCCAGAAACACCACGGCCTTGAGCAATGAACATCAGATGGGTTTTATGGGTGGGCAAACTGAGGCTCAGAGAGGGGCAGTAGTTGTCTATAGTCACACAGCCAATGAGGGCCAATGGCATGAGTAGAATCTCACCTGTGACCACTTACTGATCTCCTTCCCCCTCCTCCCCTCCCACGGAGGTGTCATAAGCAAGTGACACCATTCAGAATTGGTGAGGCTGGTTTATCATGTGAAGGATGACTGAAGGGACTCTAGGAGCAACAGTGAACCCAAACTGCACAGCTGAGGTGGAGACAGGCTGGGGTCCTGGGCTGAGGCCTACTGACCAAAGCTGCTTACGGACGGCTTGGCCCTTCAGGGATTCCACGTTGAAATTGTTGGTCCGAGCTGGCATGATGAAGAAGGTGACCACCGTCTGTTCACTGCCATTCACCTGGGGCAGAGAGAAGCAGGGGGTCAGCATCATGTGGGAGAGCGTGGAGCCCACCCCATCTGTGCCTTTTCCCATGAAGGAGAATTATAGGACAGTATTACCATCCTCACTGTGACTCTGACCTTCCTTCCGGTTCTTTGGCCATCTCACCTTGTGGGCTTCCCTAGCCCCACCTCTTGATCTCTGCCTCCCCCTCTGTAATCTGTCTAAATTCATGAGGGATAAGAGTCAGGATAGGATCACATTCCCAACAGAAAAAGATGGAAACAACCTAAGTGCCCACCATTGGACGAACAGATAGACTATGGTCCATACATACAGTGGAATACTATGCAATGTTAGAAGAAACCACGACACACCTCATGATCTAGCGTGGGTGAATCTGGAGGACAGTATGCTGAAGTGCAGTAAGTCAGTCATTAAAAGACAAATGTTGCATGAGATCACTATTGTAAACAGTCAAGAAAAGGTTTACACACAGAAAGAAATGTCCTTTGATGGTTACCAGGGATGAGAGGGGGAGGAAGCATGAGTAGAGAGTAGATGGGGAGCAATGCAGGTAAGGAGTAAGGCGCTATATAATAAGGGGGAGGTTGGCGCAACATGATCAATGGCAAAGAAAGGTGCACAAGAGTAAAAGATAGCAAAAGTAAATACTATTGTACGCACAGTTATAATAATAAGTGATAACATCTCCGAGTAGATGTGTACATAGGTATGCAAGCTGGACAGATGTAGGAATGTGAATAGGAGTATGTTGACATTGTTAAATGTTGCCAGTTGGTTCTGGCTCATAGCAACCCTGTATAAGGTTTCTGAGGAGTGGCTGGTGAGTTGGAACCGCCGACCTAAGGGCGAGTGTTTATCCTTCAGTGCCACACCAGGGCTCCGTATGAGGTTTGGCAGGGGAAATTAAGAGAATTATTTTAAATGAGAAGAGCAAGCACAAAGCTGGTTCCTATGAGGTAGCGGTCAGGTGCATCTCCACCTTCCCACTTCTCCGTGATTTCTGACACCACACTCTCCCCACTTTGCCATCTCTAGTTCTCTGGAGCAGTCAACAATTCATTGCGAAGGCCACACAGAACTCAGCAAAGGAGTAGAGAGTGTCGTAAGGGGAAGAGCTGGTGTCAGAAATGTTGAAGGAGTTGGGAGAGCAGGAGTTTAGTCGACTTCCGCCTCTTAGGAACCAGCTTTCTGTGGATCTTGGTTCCTATCCCCCAGGAATTTCAACTCTTCATGATGCTACATGACACCCTCTCTCTGGGACTCTGCCTCTCAGTAACATACGGATTTTCGTATCCTCCCTGGACCCCCTTGCAGCTTACAACTTACTCTGAGTAGATAGTTGAGCCTGGCCAAGGCCTCCAAGAAGATGTCGGCTCCCTTATTGGAGAACTCGTAGCGGCCGGCGATAAAGAAATACAAGGTCTTGTCCAAGTTGAAGTCCAGGTGCCTGAAGAAGATGCAAGGCAGAGAGGTAAGCCCAGTAGCCTCACCCTCAGCCTTGGCCTTAAGAGTATAAATCGCAGATATTATTACTGGGGCAAAGAACATCTTGGATAATGTGGAGGAATCAGGAGGTCTCCTGAGAACTGTGGATCCTTTTTCTTAAGGTGGAGATTTCCTTCAATATACAGCCTATTGATCGATCACACAAGAATTCAGGAAGCTGAGCCCCCAGTCCCCATCTCTCTCAGACCCAGCAATCTGGGCTCCCAGCCCCCTCCTTTCTAAGGACCTAGATACGTGGCCTACGTACCCATAAAAATGGCCCCGCACAAACTCCTGGATTCGAGCCTTGCTCTGGGCATGAAGGTTCTGGAACTCATGCATGGCAGAGAATTTCTTCACATTCAATCCATTGGGGGTCACAATATCTGGGATTTGGGGGAGAAGGTCCCATGTTTCATTTCTTCGTTTACTCATTCAGATCAATGATGAATGAATAAATGAAAAAAAAAATCTCTTGAAATTTCTTGATTTTTATAGCTCTTCTGTGAGGTCCTTTTGTGATCCAGCTATTCGGCTACCCAAATGCTTTCTTGCTCTAAAGTCTTTCCTGTGTTCACAAGCTCAATTACAATTGCCATCGGCCCTTACAACTGGCTAATGAGATACTGAGCTGCTCCACATTGGAGCTTCTGGAAGCTGTAGTTCTTTGTTTCCTCTATTCCATCCTGAGATGGGGATGCTTCATTCCAGGATATACCAGCCTACCTTCAAGCCTATTTCAGGGGACCCTTCCTCTCTTCATAGATATGACAGAATAGCAATGTAAAACTGTAATACCCATTAGCTCTTATGACAAAATTCCAGGAGCATAAGGGCCTTCTGCGAACTGTAGATCTTGCCTTATGTTGATTAAGAGTGGGTGCTATGGGTTGGGAAAAGAATGCCTAGTCCCAACCTTTTTCTCAAAAACAAAGTCCACTGGCTTTCCATTCTTTTTCAGAAGACCAATATCTACAGTAGCCAATGGCAGAATTTGACTATTTCTGAAAAATTAATATCAAAGAAACTACATTGGTCATTAGCCTCCAGTGTGTACAGCCAGGTAGCCTCAGATGCAGGTCACTACCCTAGGACCTCTGGGAAATGTATTTTTAGTCCTTACAATAAAAGTGTTTTTTTTTTTAGCCTGTCCCAAGCCATCGCATATTCAATGGCCTTTAATGCATGTTAAGGATGAACAATGAAAGAGGAAGTCAGGAGAATAATTTACAGATTTGAATTATGATGTTAGAAAGAAGAAGACTGAATGTGCCATGGACTTCTAGAAGAATGAGTAAATCAGCCTTGTAAAAAGTACAGGTACAATGATTCTTAGTAATAAGAATGGAGAGACTGTGTCTTGCTTATTTTGGGCATGACATCAAGAGGGACCCATTGCTGGAGAAGGACATCATGCTTGTTGGAGAATGAGCAAAAAAGAGGGAAGCCCTCAGTGAGCTAGACTGACACAGAAGCCACACCAATGGGCTCAAACATATGTATTATCATGAAGATGTTGCAGGACTGAACAATGTTTGGCTGTTATGCAAAAGGCTGCTAGGAATCAGAGCTGACTTGATAGCACTTAACAAAACCTTGGCAGAGACAATGGCCTACCTCTGTCGGGTCCAGGGACCCCAGGCCAGGCCTTACCTGGTTTCCTCTTGAGTAGGTGCTGAGCCTCAATGGCCGTGATCTGGGACACAGTGGTGAAGACATGGGCACAGTGGGCAGCTGCCCGCTCCATGCAGTAGCGGTGATAGATCTGCCTGTCCCCTGCTTCCTTGTCCACGTTGAACTAGGGGGGGGGTGTGGAAGTGGGGGAAGAGGCCCGTCAGCTTACCAGGACAGAGGAAGAGTAGACTGTGGATCCAGACTCCATGGTGCTAGGGAGGTTGGAGCTGGCAGTTGGACTTCTGGGTCTGAAGGAAGAGGAGGGGGCTGGGACTTCCAAGTTTGAGGGAGGAAGAGACTGGGGATCTGAACTTCTTGAGGTCTGAGGGAGAAGAGGATTGGGAGCCTGGACTCCTGGGTCTGAGAGAGGAGGAGCTAGGGACTTGTATTGTTGGGTCAGAGAGAGGAGAAGGTTGAGCGCCTGGATTGCTGAGTCTGAGGGAGGAAGACTGGAGACTTGGACTCCTGGGACTGAGGCAGGAGGGGCTGGGGACTTGGATGCCTGGGTCCCAGGCGGAGAGTACGCTTGACTCCTCTGGGCTGTCCTGGAATTCTCATGTCTCCCCCACGCCCCAGATCTGCCCCACTCCCAGCTCACGTTCTCCAGGTTATTGTAGAAGTCCACGGCACCAGCACATAAGTAACGCCCCAGCAGCGTGGCATGGGTAGTGAAGATAGTAGCCACAGGAAGCCGCCGTGCACGACACAGGCAGAGCCCAACGCCTGCCAACCACTCGTGGAAGTGGGCAACCACGTGATGCTTCTCCTCGCTCTGGGCCAGGAACTGTGCAAATATAAGGACAGGGGTACCGTGTCTCCATGGGTGTCATTGTGAGAACTGGAAATCCCCAGTGTGGACAAAGAAGCAGGGGAGAGATCAATCCATCACTGCTATCGGGTGGAGGAGGAAGCTGCCCACCGCCGAGATCCCATTAGACGAGGCAGCTCCAGAAGTCGACAGGAGCTGGTGTTTCTTTGGTCAAGGCCTTCTAATATCTAGGAGATTTGAACAAAAATAACTGAGGTTTTAGTGTCCACAAGTCCTGGACACAATTCTGTGATAACCTTTATCTTGACAAAGATCAGCCTTCTTTCTATATGCAACACTGGCACTAGGACTACAATTCCCAGAATGCATTAGGAACAGTCAGTTCATTACTGGTCCAGAGCACTGAGATGAGGTTTTTGAGCCTTCTTTAAAACCTAAAAGTAAGTTTTGTTGTTAAGTACTGACTCACAGTGACCCTCTATACGGTTATCAAGGAGTGACTGGTAGGTTTGAAAAGCCAACCTTTTGGTTAGCAGTTTAGTGCTTTTCAGGAAGTGAGAACCCCAAGTTATTGTTCTCAGATAGGCTGGGGGTGTATGTCTCCAAACACCCAAGGTCCTACCTGACAGCTTATGTTCAACTGCACTAGAGAACTACAACCCCCAGAATCCCATGCCACATGTCTTCCTTAAGTGAGAAACATTACCCAGTCTTGTACCAGTCTCACAAGTGTCTATGTTTAAGTCCATTATTACAGCCATTGTACTGGTCCATCTCCTTGAAGGCCTTCCTTTCTTACTTTACCAGGGAGCGTGGTGGACTGTAAACCACAAGGTCCATGGTTTGAGCCCGCCAGCTGTTCCAGGCGAAAGATGAGGCTTTCTGCTACCACAAAGATTTAAAACCTAGGAAACTCTATAAACAGAGTCGCTATGAGTCAGAATCGATGCCACAGCACTTAATGATGACTCGACTTTACCAAGCATGATGTCCTTCTCCAGGGACTAGCCCCACCTGATGACATGTCCAAAGTACATGAGGCTAAGTCTCACCAAGCTCACTTTTAAGGAGCATTTTGTTTGTACTTTTTCCAAGAAAGATTTGTGGGTTCTTCTGGCATGTATGTATGCATATTCCATATTCTTCTACAACACCATAATTCAAAGGCATTAATTCTTCATTTCTTCAGTCTTTCACATTAATGGTTTTCTTAACACTTTGAAGAGGTCTTCTATAGTAGTTTTGTGCTATACAATACACTGCTTGATTTCCTGATTGCTGCTTCCCTGGGCATTGATTGTGGATCCAAGTGAAATGAAATTTAGACAGCTTGAATATTTCCTCCGTTTTTCATGATGCTGCTTACTGGTCCAGTTTGAGGATTTTTGTTTTCTTTATATTGTGAGGATTTTTGTTTTGTTTATGTTGAGATGTAAACCCTAAGAGCTAATGGCTCAGGAGCCAAATAATTGAAAGATTGGTATGAATGAAGCTGGGGTTGGGCATTTCAGTCTATGGGGAAAGAAGAGGCTGGATTCTGGATGTCCATGTCCTCAAAGGTCAAAGCTAACCCCAGGATTAAAAGACCTACAACTCCCATAATGCCCTGGGAAAGCCCACCCAACAACCCTCTGGCCCAGGGGTTGATGGGAGTTTAGTTTCTGGGCTGGGGCTGAAAGGAGTAAGATGGGGCTGGCAGTGGGGCCTACCTCACCCAGGAACCAGGTAGTGAGGAAGCCAAAAAGGACAGCATCATTGGCCTCACGGTCGTACCAAGGCACCCCGATGTTGCAGGTGTCCCAGAGCTCCCCTTTCCAGCGCTCCAGGGCCCAGGCGGAGGCCCCCACATCCAGGAGCACCACCAGAGGGCCCCCCTCGATCAGCCAGCGTCCAAAATACACCTAGGGAGACCCACAGAGAGCTTCAGGACTTCTGCCATCAGTATCTGTGCATCTTCTATCTGTAGGCTGATGTCTGAGACTCTGAGACTCACAGCCTCAGTTCTCTCCCCATCTGTGTTTGGATCTGCTATTTCTTACTTGCTGCTTCATTTCTCTATTGTTAGGTACCACATATATATATATACACTTGTAGAGAGGTTCCAAGGAGCAAGATGGTGGGTTTATCGCCAACCTTATGGTTAGCAGTCCATTGCTTATCCTACAGTGCCACACCATTTCTCTATGACCTGCTGGCTTTCCCAACTAGAATCTTTTTCCCATCTTCAATGCAACATTTTCCCCCACCCTTCGTTTTGTTTTTATAACTGCTACCCTTCTCTCCTCTCCGGAGTCCTGCTGTGGCGCTGTGGGCTAATGCATCAGACTGAAAGTCATTTGAACTGTAAGGTTGGTGGTTCAAGTTCACCAGCTGCTCCTTGGAAACCCTATACATGGTCGCTATGGGTCAGAATCGACTCGACGGCACTAAACAACAACAACCCTCCTCTCCGAGCCCTGATAGCATAGTGGGTTAAGTGATGGACTGCTTGCCACATGGTGAGCAGTTTGGATCCATCAATCACTCAGTGGGGGAAAGATGAGGCTTTCTGCTCCTGTAAAGATTTTCAGCCTCAGAAACCCTATACTTAACAACAACAACAACAACCCTTCTTTCTTCTGCTACCTTCTTTCTCTTCTTACAACCCATATTTCTTGCATCCTGTTTCTGGGCCTCTACTGTCTTGGGTTTCCACCATGCTAATAATTTCTCCTGGAGTCCCTGAGTGGTGTACACAGTTAGTGTACTCGACTGCTAACAGAAAGGTCCGTCCAGAGGTTCCTCAGAAGAAAGACCTGGCAATTGATTTATGGAGCACATGTCTAAGCTGACACACGTGGGATTGTCTTGAATGCAAACCGACTCAATGGTTACTGGTTTTTAATATGTCTTTTACCTGCTGCCATATTTCTCTCACCTACCATGAGACTCGGAAGAAAGATGAGGCTGTCTGCTCTTGTAAAAATTTAGTCTCGGGAACCCTAAGGACTAGCTCTACTCTGTCCATAAAGAGGTGCTGTGAGTTGGAATTGAGTTGCTATGGTTCTTACCGCTAACCTGCTTTCTCTCATTGCTACACGTTTCTTCTCCTGGCCGTTTCCTCCACCTGACTGTCCTCACTGCCACATGTCTTCCACCCCATAGCCTTGCCTCTATCTCTTTGGTCATATATTTGTCATCTGTTGCTTCTTTTCTCTGCCTGCCGGCCCATTTTGCACTCAGTGGTTATATTTCTAGCACTGCCTGATTGTTTCCATGTCCCAGGCCTGCATTTTCCTGCCTCCCTGCTGCCACATTTCTGCCCCTGTTGCTTTCCTCCTGAGACTATGGCCTCTGTCTGGGCCTGCGGCCACAGTTCCCTCCAGCCAAGTAGTCACACTTCTCCACGACCTGGGGGAGCCTGACCCCAGGGCTCCTCCCCCTTCCAGTCCCCCTTCCAGCTGTTGTCTGCCCTTTTGCTGGGGGCTCTATTCTTAGGCCCCCAGCACGTGGGAAGCAGCTGCCCTAGGGGAAGGGCTCGGCTGCCCTGAGGTCCCCTAGGGACACTGTCCAGCCTGACTGGACTCCAGACCCCACCCCAAAGCAGAGGCTGGGAATAAAGGACCCCTCCTCAACCCTAATGCAGGTCTATGCCTTTACCATCCTGTCTCAAGCTCTGTCCTTGAACCCTCTATTGGGGTGCGCATCCTTCAGTACTGTCTATCCTGGGGCTATGAGTTTCACATCTGCTTTCTTTAACTCCCAGATCACCTCTCTGTCCATGTCAGACTTTCTCCCTTGGCTCTATCGGTCTACCTCTTCTCTCTTTATTACTCCTTCTTCTAGATCTGAGTTTCTCTCTGAAAACAGTCAGCTACCTATTACTCAAGCCTGTGGGACCACCATCACCTCTTGGGTTCCTCTGTCTGTCTAGCCTTCTTTCTCCTTCTGCCTGCCTGTCCATCTCAGCCTCACAGCTCGGCTGTTTACGTTACGACTGCTGCTAATAATAATAATAACCATGAGGTTAAAACTCACATCAAGTTCATACACTTGGGATCTGGAATTTTGAGAAAGACTTGATAATAATTAAGTCTCCATCCTTCCAACAACCCTATAAGGTGGCTGGGACTGGGACTTATATATTCATTAGCCAAGTTCACACAGTCAAGAAGTGGAGAAACTGAACTTGAACTTCGGTTTCTGGAACTTGGGTGTCTGAGCACCTGTCTAAGCCAGGCTCTGTCTGGCCGTCCATTCAGCTCTTTCTCTCTCTGGATCTGACATCGCTGCCTCTTGGATCCATCTTAGTCTTGTCTTGTACCCACGGTTCACATGTCCCTCCATCAATGTCTTAGAGCTTGGGGTCCACCCACGTACTTCAGGGACACCCTGCATTCATCTGAGTGCCTATCATTCCTTCTGCCTGGGGAGCCCTGGGTCACACTGGATCTCTGTCCCTCCCTCTCTGAAGCTGTCTAAGTGCTGCCCCTACCCTAGCAGTAGGGCTGGCCACCCACCCACCCTCAGCCGGACAATGTCCCACCTTGCAGCCCTTGTTGTTCATGGAGTCCAGGGTCCTCTTCAGGGCCGGGGTGGGAGGCTCGAGCAGTTCCACCTGGGTCCTCACTCCCTGCTCCGTGTATGGCCCCACCAGGTAGTAGTTGTCACCCCACTCGTCCCCTGTCACCTTGGCCTTCGTCTGCAGCACCGTATAAATGCCGCCCACTGTGGGCCCAAGATTGTGAGGGAGGGCCCCAAACCACAGAAGTCTGACGCTGTGGGACCTGGGGCAGGGTAGGGGGTGAAGGGGCACTGGGAACCCAGTCTCTGTGGTTGGGGGAAGAAGGGAGTGGGAAGCCAGACACCCAAATCAGAGGGAGGAAGGGCTGAGGGTCCAGACTCCTGGGTCTGAGGGAGGAGGGGGTTAGGCTCCTGATTCACATGGAGGAAGGAGCTCTGGGCCCAGTTGAGGGAGCTGGAGGCCTCGACTCCTGGGTCTGCAGAAACAGGGTGCTGGGCACCTGGGTCTGAGTGAGGAAGGGGCTGGACTTTTGGGTCTGAGGGGGGTGTTGAGGACTGGTCTCCTGCATCTGGAAGAAGTTAGATCTGGGATCCCAGAGCTGAAGGTTCCCAGGACCTAGATTTTCCCGCATTCTCTTTCATGCTCCAGGATACAAGGCGTTGGAGACGCCCTCTCAGGACTCCACCTAGATCCCCCCTCCTCAGTTACCCAAGAGAAACCTGGAGAGTCACTCCCTACTCCATAGGGACCCTGTTGACCTGTCCCCCAGTCTCCTCTCCCTGACTGGAGACCCAAGTATCTGGAACCCTGTCTCTCCCAAGATTCTACCCCAGACAAAACACCTCACTGAGCCCAGACCCTGACTCCACATTTGCTGGCCCCCTCCCATGCTCCTCTAAGATCCAGCAAAGCAAGTCTCCAGCTCCTTCCTCTCTCCCTGAGGAGCCAGGTCCCCCAGCTCCTAGGATTCCAGCCTCAGCCATATCCAAACCCAGAACTTTAGGTCATGGAAGCCCAGGACACAGAAATCCAGGCCCCCAGCCACTCCCATGCTAGGGCCCAGCCCCTGCCCAACTTAGGACTTCCCAGTCTTCCCCCATAGCCATACAGTACGCATGTCCAAGGCCACAGGCTTTTCTACTCCCAGGAACCCAAGCACAGGCCCTGGGCTCCTTCAGAACCCAGGATTCCAGGCCCCCAAAGCTTTCCCATCTCCAACTCCCATGCCTTCTCTACTCTCAAGCAAGCTTCTTCAAAATCACCCACGAAAATTCATGCATCTCCCCCAGATCTCTCCCTGACCAGGGTTACAAAGCTTAGCCTCATCCCCCTAAAGCATGCTTCTTAACCACCCCCTACACACACTTCCCAGATTTGCAATCAGAAGTCCCTCTCCCCTCCCTCCTCCTCGATCAGGTTTCTCAGAAGCCAACCAACAGGATCTAGGAATCTATCATTTTTGTTCCCTCCACCCAGGACCCTGGACCTGGGACACCAGCCTTCTTTCATCTCAACATTCGGGTGACCCACCTCTCCTTCCAGGGCCCAAGAGACATATCCCAGCCTCTTCCCAAGGGCACAGAAGTCAAAGGCTTCTTGCCCAGGACCCGAGAGTCACGTCACATAACTCCGTCCCCGAGCTCCCGGGCCCCCACCCAGACTGCGACTGCCCTCTAGTCCAGGGCCCGGGAGTCTGGCGCGCTCACCCTTATTGGCCACTTCCCAGGCCACCTCGAAGAGCACCGTGTTCTCCAGGTTGAAGTCATCCTCCCAGTCCTCCAGTCCTGGCAGTGAAGACAGGGACAAACTGCGGCTCAAAGGCATGACTGATTCGGGAAAGGGACTCCGACGGCCACAGGTGGAGGGCCCCGGAAGTGTCCGGGAAATGCACCGGGCAGGGAGTGGGAGCGGGTAGCTGATGCCCAACGGGAAATGTGCAATACTCCTGGCTTCCTATTGCGCGACCGCACCCCCAGCTACACAGAGTCCCAACCGAGGTCGGCGGCGGCCGCAGCGTCACTGAGCTTAGTGGCTCCCCTGCAGTGAAACCTTGCGGCCGCCAGGAGGCGGCGCCCGCCTCCCGGCCAACGCTATTGGTCTGCGCCCGAGGGCGGGGCTCCTGCGTCTCCTCCTTGGTGAACCAAATCGGGCTTGCTTGGGAAATTCACTGCCTTAGCCCTGGACTTGAGTTTAGGAGGGCGGTGCTTATGGCCGTGTCAAACGGAATCGATTGGTCCCTACATCTGTCCGTCTGAAGCTGGAGGGCCCCAAAGTGGGGAGAGGAGGGAGGGTGGGAAAGGAGGAACTAGAGCGTGGAGAACGTGTAGTGACTCAAGAAGGGTTAAGAAATTTGCAGGCAGCTCGGCTAAGCGTACTGGGGAAAACGAGGCGGAGTCAGGAGGCTTTAGGGAGGGACCCAGAATCTCCAGCACCCGACCCCCAGCTCATCCTCGATGGGTAGGAGGGGCCGAAGACGTGACTCCACGCCCCCTCCAAACAGGATTTGAATATTTATGAAGAACAAGCGAGACCTCTCGTTGACCTGAGAGCCTAGAGGGGCCAGAACACCTCGTTCCTAGAGCGTTTCCGCTTCCGCTGAGACATTGGCGGTTAGTGAGCATCATGGCAACCGTGGTGAGTGTCGGAGCTCCTAAAACGAACCCGCAGCTCTGAGTCGGAGGAAGGAGGGGACTGGAGGCCTGGACTCCTGGTTCTAAAGGAGGAGGCGGCTCGGGGCCCAGACGCTTGGGTCTGAGGGAAAAGGGGATGGGGGCCTGGACTCACAGGTCTGAGGGAGGAGGGGCCGGGGGTCTGGAGGCCTGGGTCTGAAGGAGGAGAAAAGGAGCTAGAATCCCAGAATCTTGGATTGAATTGTCTTATCCCATCATTATTAATGGGAACTACATCTCCCAGAACCCTCTAGGGACGTTCAACGGCCAGTTCTGCAGTCCTTGACCCCCAAAGTTTGATGTTCTGGGCTTCTAAGCCATCAGAGAGTCCTGGGGTTTTGATGGTCCTTGGGTTCCAAGAGAAACTCATGGCTGGAGGACTTTCCTGTGTGCTTCAGAACGTGAAGTCACCTAGGGCGCCCTGAGCGTCAGGAGACTGTTGGGAACCACGAGGGAGTCAGTCAGGAGGAAACTGAAAGTTGGTCTTGGGAATGTTTCCGCCCTTTTCCTATTTTTAGCACTTCAACGTCTAGGCTGTTAGAATGAACGAATGCAAACTCCATGAAGGAGATCAAGTACGTGCTTGAGAAACATTTGAATAGAGAATGACGTAGGTTGAGGTTGAGGGCTGGATTTCCAGATGATTCCGCTCCAATGGTGACCTCATTCAAGATGGGGGCCTCGAACTGGTTCAGCCCACTTCAATCACGGCTGAGGGAGCAACACCAGAACAGATGCGGATTTTTATAATGCAGATTGATTGTAGTCAAAACTGGAACAGGGAAAAAATGATGACAGGTCTAGCAACCCTTCTTAGGGTAGCGAATTTACTGCACTGCAGTCAAATCTCTTGTCCACAGAGTGGGAAACAGTGGTGGCGGCTGACCGCCACTTTGAATGTGTGTCCCTCTTGGCTGTTTTGTGATAATCCTGTCTCCCTCATCAGGCTCCCAAAACGGTTCATTACACTTCTGAGTCTCCCATTCCAAGGCTTCGATCCATGTTTTTTCCATTCTAGTTGTTCCTGTCCACTCAAATTTGAAGAATTAAGGGTCTCTACTGGTTTTACTTCTTCTGGCCATCACTGACCCACTTTGAAGCCCTGGTCAAGATTGGTGAAGGATGGGAGAATGAGAATTGCTGGTGGCTAGGGGACATCTGCTGAATGGAGTCCACGCCAACTCAGTGTGCAACTCCATGTGTTTCATAGCAGAACTGTGCCTGTAGGGCTGCCAATGGCTGATTTTTCAATGCCTTAGTTTGAAAATGAACTTGATTTCCATGGGACCGGTGGTCATTGAAGGAGCACTGGTAGTACAGTGGGTTAAGCATTGGGCTGCTAACTACAAAGTTGATGGTTCAAATCCACCAGCTACTCTTGGGGAGAAAGATAAGACAGTCTGCTCTCAAAGATTTACAGCCTTGGAAACCCTATATGGGGGTTTGCTGAGAGTTGAAATCAGCTCACTGGCTGTGAGTTTGGTTCAGATCTAGCATGGTAGGAAGATGTGGCTGTCTGCTTCCGTGAAGAATTACAGCCTTGGAAACCCTGTGGGGCATTTAGACTGTCCTATAGGGTCAGGAGCTCTGGTAGCGTAGTGGTTACGAATTGGGCTGCGAACCTTAAGGTCAGCAGTTCGAAACTACCAGCCGTTCTCTGCGGGAGAAAGATGAGGCTTTCTGCTCCCATAAAGAAGATTTACATCCTCGGAAACCCTGTACAGGGTCACTATGGATTGGAACCGACTCGATGGCACATAACAACAACAACATAGGGTCACTGTGAGTCAGCGCCAACTTGATGGCAGTAGGTTGGGTTTTGGTTTAATGGCCTTCAAAGGAGTCCTGTTGGTGCAACAGCCAACCAGTCTAAGGAAGAAAGACCTGGCGGTGTGCTCTCCTAAAGATTGTGAAATGTTACCGAGTTGTTTCTGACTCGTGGTGGTGGTTAGGTGCTGTGGAGTCGGTTCTGACTCATAGTGACCCTGTATAGCGTTTCTGAGGCTGTACATCTTTACTGGAACAGAAAGCCTCATTTTTCTACAGAGCAGCTGGTAGATTTGAACTGCTGACCTTGTGGATAGCAGTCCAGCTCATAATCTACTACGCTATCAGAGTTCCTTAGTGACCCTATATAGGTGTTGTTTCCCCTAATTCAGTACATTGTTAGATTTTTTTTTTTAACCACCTCCCCACACGTTTAATTGTGAATTGAGTGAAGGTTTACAGAATAGATCATCAGCTTTACACTCAACAAACCTTATACTTTGCTTCACTGCATAGTTGGCGTCCCCTCCATGTACCAACAGTTAATAACATTTACCTCTATTCACTTCTTAACTCTATCATTCTGCCCTGTGTCTCCTGCTACCATTGTGTTTCCCCTCCTAACTTCCCTCTTGTTGTATATTGCCTGTTTCTCTCCCCTATTAACATAGGTCTATCTTCTAAGATATCTTCTAGAAATCAAATAGACTACATCTGTGGAAAGAGAAGATGGAAAAGCTCCATATCATCAGTGAAGACAAGACCAGGTGCAGACTGTGGAACAG